TTTTAGGAAACTTTGATGTCCCATCATGACTCTTGCAGACTAAAATGACTCAAAGTAGTATGATGGTTTTTTTTGTAGCCAGAACATGAAATGATGCCAGTCAGATAGGCTCCTTCTGAGGAACAACCTCAGGAAATTCCAAGCCTCTCTATTAAAGATGCTTGAGTAGATGCACAGTAACCCTTGCTCCAGCCACAGTATATGTAAAAACCGTTATCCATTGACAGAATCACAGGATGGTTGATGTTGGAAGGGACCTCCAGAGATCATCTAGTCCAACCCCCCTGCTCAAGTAGGGACACCCAGAGCATGGGGCACAGCAGGGCATCCAGGTGGGTTTTGAGGTGGTCTCAATGAAAGAGACTCCACAACTTACCTAGGGGCTCTGTCACCCTCACAGTGAAGAAGTTCCTCATATGGAGATGGAACTTCCCATCTTTCAGTTTGTACCCAATACCCCTTGTTCTATCACTGGCTACCACTAAGCAGAGTTTAGTCCCATCCTCTTTACATTCTCCTCTCGGGTATTTGTACATACTGAGCAGATCCCCTCTCAATCTTCTTCAGGCTAAACCAGCCTGGCTTGTGTAATCTTTCCTCATATGAGAGATGTTCCAGTCTGGTAATCATCTTCGTTGCTCTACGGTGGACCCTCTTTGGAAGCTCTGCATCTTTCTTATACTGGGGAGCGCAGAGCTGCCCCTGATAGTCCAGGTGTGGCCTCACCAGAGCTGAGCAGAGGGGCAGGATCCCCTCCCTGCTCTGCTGGCAACACTTGTCCTGGTGCAACCAGGATCCCATTGGCCCTCTTGGCCACAAGGGCACATGGTTTAGTTTTGTTCCATCTTGGATGGATGATCTTTCTACATGTGCATTTTTCTTTCTGCACTTCAGCTTTCTACCCTTGACCCTCATATTTTTGATAATAACACCCACTTTTAAAGCATGTTTCTGTTAATCACATTTGTCCTGCTCTTCACTGAATGCCTCACTTCAGGGTAATTAAGGATAAATGACATGTTGAAGCAAGAGGTAAAAATGAATGCTGTGCATGAGCTTATTCAAGCTTTTTCTATATATGGTTTTCTCTTTGTTATCTACAAAGCAAAAAACATTCTTTTCAGTGTCAAACTGTGCCAGATTGCCCAGGTATCTACTGGACCCTACTTGCAGCATCCCCATATGTACCACAATAGTAAATAAAGCAAATTCTAGTTTTCATTCACTATCCAAACTATTTCCTGAGGGCATCCTTTATAAATTTATATGACATCTTGAGGAAGCTCAACTTCCTGTAGTCTTATTGCCTAGCAAGAAGGATGAGTCAGGCATCTTATCACTCAACAATACCGCCGGGCAACATAAAAATTTAGATTGGATACACTATGCTTGGCTATTGATATTGCTCACAGCAGTCATCCCCAGGGAAAGTAATTTCATTAATGACCTTCCTGTAAAAAAAAGATAATCCTCTTTGGCTTTATTGAGAATAAATACTAATAACCTGCAGTTCAGAGGATCTTCCTGACCCAGCTCTTTGCCATTAATTTGGTCTCTGCATGTGCATGTTCTTTATAGTATTTATCACCTAAGCATTATTACCAGTTTTATGGCAAAAATGATTATGTTCATATTTCCTGGTAATTTAACTTCTGTATTGCAGCACCACTTACATTTGGGTTTTTAATTGTGTAACACTTTGCTTAAGTATCCTCAGCACTCAAACTGCTCAAGCTAATGAGTCGCTACACGCTGCTTCCCCTAAATGGTTTTCTTCATTCATTGAATTCATGTGAAGTTTGGCTTGGACATTGTAAGTATATGGTGGATGTCCTGTGTATTAATTAGTGCCTTTTGCCACTTTTGTTCTCAGGACCTTTGGAACCCGTTCAGTTGATCCTTTTATCTAACATATATATTGCCAGAGAAAGTTGTTTGTTTCTAATATCAATAGACTAGAAGATATCTCCCTTGTCTTTGAATGCAAGTTATGTATTTTCTTGCATTGTTCCTCTCAATGTAGAGGTCAAGGTATATAAATTATCCCAGTAGCTTAAGGAACTGTAATTGCTACACTGATAAATATAACCGTGCAGAGTAAAAGATGTAATTTACATTTTAAGTGAAATTTTGTGTAAGAATAGTGTAGGGTACAGGAATTTCGTGAAAAGGGAAGAGGTGAGTATGAGTGAGACTTTCAAATCCCCAGTTTATTTACAAAAATGAGTCCTCCTAAACACTTGGATTGCAGAGCGTTCCTAGTAGTCATTAGTGCTGTGTAGAAATGTTATTTTAATTATTTTAATGGTAAATTTGAAAGGTTATATTTTCCTGTCACCTGAGAACGACTTATTTAGCTGTCTAAAGAGCAATTTAATTCAGGTAAAACTGATTTGAACTCTTGTGCTAGAAAAAGTAAACCGATTTAATCGAGACTGCTTTAAGTTTATGCTTTTCGTTAAATTTGCCTATGCAAGTAAGACATGCGGATGCTAACAAGAGCTCTGATTCTGTAGAAACTGAAATAAAACTTCATAGTTCTTTTTATTGATTTCATTTATCTTTTGGAAAGAAACACAGTGGAAGTATTAAGTAGCAAAAGGCAAATTCTGTGCAAGATAACAGTAAGGGTGGAGACAGATGTAAAGAACTAAGTTGCTCTGTCTTGATTTTTTTCCTGAGAGGAGCCTGGAAATTGCTGGCTAGAGAAAAATACTTTTTTGGGGGAATTGCTCCAGCACGTTTCTAATCAGATATATTCAAGCATGTTTTTATTATTAAAGCATAGGATTAGCTGTGTTAATGCTCCAAATGTTCACACATTTCCTTGCAGTGTAAGGCCATAGGGAAGGCTCTGCCCTGTGGGCTTCATCAGCGACGAGCACACTTCTCCCTGATGCAACAACCTCGGTCCAAGGGAGGGGACCATTACACTGCCTGCGCACCACAGTGGAGGGAGCAGGTTTTATTTGTGGTAATGACTCCTCAGGGTACCCAGCAGAGATTTACTGTAAAGGAGATGCACAGAAGACCCATATTTTAAAGCCTCTGACATCATTCTATTGTTAGGCCTTTAATTTAGTGGTATGCCTGGTAGCAGCCCTAATTTGGTGGTAAGCCTACCATGACCAAAACAGCCCCCGAGCTGTAGATACCAAGCAACCCATCAGCTTGGCAAGCAATATTCTCCACTTTGTTCTGTTTATCACAAACTCTCATTTTTCTCCTGTGTTTTCTGGCTGGAAAGCAAAGTAAGAGGCTCCCAGAGGAGCCAGGTGCCAGCGCTAATGTAGGGCCTTGAAGGTAGATGTTTTTTGCAGCCCAAATTTGTTTGCAATTAGAGGGGAGAAAGCCATTTGGCACAACAAGCCAGGGCTATGAGGTTTGTTCATCTCGGCTTCCTCCCTATTTTTCTCTCTGCATCCTGCAATTAATTCCTTGTGGAAATAATCTGTTTTCTTGAACTCATTTATAATATTTGCTTTAATGGCTTTCTGTAATCATGTTGCATGTATTAACTGAAGTCTAAATACCTGAAGATTGGCGTGCTGTTTTGGCCATGGAAAGCTGTTATTTTAATGGAAGTCATGTGGCTGTAGCCACATGCAGAGTGTAGGGGTTAAAATGGTACCTCTTAAACAGAAGCATCTCTTAGCTGTAGGACAGATTCACTAATTTTTATCTTTTTTTCTCAAATACTGAGATTACATTTCATCCCTGTTGAAATGATCTCCATCTACAACATGAGAACTGTTAGTTACAAGCTTATTAATTGATTATCTTACTAATTAGAATATGATTGCTGTTGTATGGCTTCAAATTAATTTTAAACTACTTGAATTATAAAAAAAATACACACAGATTGCATCTATTGCAATTCTGAATACAAATATAATAGGGGGAGATAGGAATACTAATTAGCATTTTAATTAGTCTTTCAGAGCAGAAATGAGTGTAGATGTAACACATGGTGCATCAAAATCTTCCTGTTTGGTGTTTTGGTAAAGTTATGAATTGCTAAGGATAAGTTGAACTGTGTAAAGGAGACGTCTCTGGCAAAATTGGTTAGTCTGCATCTTGGTGTGCTCTGCTGCACCAAGCTGGACATTGGGGTATGCAGAGTGTTCATACAGGCTTAGCAGTTAGGCTTGGATTTGGCCTTAGGAGCAAGATTAGACCTTATGTATTTAATATGTATAGTGGGATAAGCTGTTCTGACAGGAGCTCAGATGCCAAACCTCTAGGACAAAGTCTATGTGCTGAGAAGGGAATTGGGAGTTCAGCACACGGACGACTTCCTCTGAACTATCATCTTGGAGATTGCTTAAATCTGGCAGTTTGTCTTCAGAAATAGGGAGAATCTGTGGAATTGTTATTGAAGAGAATATTTTGCTATCGTTGGATATTTGACAATTTTATAGGAAACTAGATTTGCTTTAAAAAATCAAAATCTGTCTGGCTGCAAACGTGTTTGGAGCCTCAGTTCTTCATCTTGCCTACTGATATTTAGGCCAACAACTTCTGTTAGTTGGGGGCATAGGTGTCAATAATTAACAAAGAACAATCCAAGGAGATGTGTGAGTGAGCACCAGTGCAAAACCACACCAAATACTGCAGGATTGTCATCTTGCTTCGTGCTGTTTGCTAGCAAATTGAAAAGATTTGCCTTGAGACCTGTAAAAATGTTGATGCCTGTGTGCTGAGGGAAGACATCCTTATAGGGCAGGTCGTGGGACATCAATTGTGCAGAGCTTCCAAGGGCTGCTTTCCTCACACAAGAGCTAAAATAGCTAGGTAAAATAATGTGCTACGTGGAATAAGTAGCATAATGTTTGACCCACCAGCATATCCGAGTGACTGGGATCTGGGTGATTTACCCCCCTCCCAGGACTCTCCTAGCAGAATACGTGGGCCTCTAAATTTACTGAAGTGACAACAACATCTAATGTAAAACTTCTTTATGCTGCTCGAGCTGTGCAAAGGGACTGTTATGCTGCTGGAAATTGAGCTTATCCCACTAATTCCTTTTCTCTGTTTATATTCACAGGCATGTAAGGAGCATTGAAAATCCAGAAGTTATATATCTAAGTTTGGTGCATCTATTTCCCGTTTTAGCCAGGTTTTTACTTCTTTGTGTCTCCTGTATCAGGAAGATGTATTAGACTATTAGCTATATTTTAACTCAAGCTGTTTTAGTTTCCTCATCCTTTTTTAAATATTTTTTTGTAACGACACTGTAAACACCTAGGTTGCCACAGGTAACCCAATGAAACACTTGACTCAGTATCTCCTTAACAGAAAGTGGGTCAGTTTTCTGACGCTCAGCCATTAATCTAACGAAGCACATGGTAATTGCAAACGGTCAAAGTACGAGCTGATACAATTCCGCTTAACACAAAAAATCCCAAGGTGCCGAACCACCAGATATAAAATTCTGCAACTGGATGGTTATGTGAGTTCAATAGCCTATTTTGCAATGCTTTCTGGTCTCGGAAGGATACAGATTGATGATATTTGGTACCGAGTTCTCTGATCAGCACTTACGAGGTGTTTCTTAAATCTTTCTTGCCACTTGCTGTCTAGTCAATTGGAAAAATCTGTCCTGAGAGTAATTGAAAATTGCCCCAGATTGTCATTGAGTGATTTACAGAAATACCCTTTGATTATAGTCCCGGACAGTTTTATATTTTACTGGTCATCATACTGCACTAGAGGGGAGAAAAATAAAATTGTCAGCTGTGGGAAATTAGGTAATTGGCATAGTTTATTCAAAGAAAATTATGTCTATTTCTTTAGGCGATCTCATGCAAGGTTTAAAAAAAGCAATACCATTAATCAAGACTCATTGACAATATGATGACCTTACATGGCCTGATAAACTGTATCAAAATGTTTATTTTACCTTCGTGTTGTCATTTTTCCAGAGGATATAGAAAGATTGCTCCTTATAAGTAAGGTTAATTCTGCTATAAATGAGATACTGTAATTCAGTCTTTTTTTTTAGACTTGTGATATCCTGATGGAACCCAACAGCAACTGAAGAGGAGTTAAGAAGCTTTTCCCCTTTCAGCTTAATGGTAAAAACTTCTTAAATTTAAATAACCACTTCAAAACAAAAGTACTTTTGTTACTTGATGGAACACATGCAGTCTAGTGAGTAGTAATAACCACATTAAATCCTAAGGTAGTGATTATAAATGGACTCACTATTTGGGTATTATAAAAGAAAGCAAATGCTTAAGAGAAATTGCTCATGGCTGAAGGGATTAAAAGTGCTTAAATTAGCATAAATGAACCAGAATCCTTAAGGAACTAAAATCTGCAGAAGTCATTTGAGAATGAGAGGAAGCAGAATTCTCCACTTAGAGCACTCATCAACACCTTCTGTGAAGGTATAAATGATCTGTATGGAGCTAGAGGAGCTGCTGAAAGGTGCTTGGGCAAAGAGATCCGCCAGTGCCTGTTTTCTGACAATGACAAGACATTATAAGGGGTTTATGGGATTTTTGCCTGCTGCTTTTTTAATATTCACCTAGGAAAAGCAAGAAAATGCCTGTAGAGAGAGCAGAAAGCCTACTACGAGGGGAAAAAAATGAGAATTCATGTGAAAATTGTGGTTTAGAAAATCAATAGTTTTAGGCATTTACTTGTAGGAAAAGGGTTCTCCCCCGAGATGGCTTTTTGACTAGCCAAAGACATTTTGGAAATGGATATCATGGCAACTCCTTGATGCATCAGTTAAGAAATGGCCAACTGTCAACTTCTGGCTCTGGAGTGCAGTGGTGTTATAAATAGGACATGTTTCCATTCATTAGTTAAAGTAAAAACTGAATGGAGTATTGAGTAATGGTGAGAGCACAAAATAAATGTAGTTGCGGTTGCACGGGCTGGGGTTCGGGAGCATATGTTTCTATCTGACGCTTTTCTCAGCAGAAGCTCCACTCTTAACAGTTTTGCTTAAGGAGGTTGCTAAACTGGAAGACAGACTTCTTCAATAAAACCTCATTAAAAATGTATGTTAATGGGAGCCAGGAACCAGGAGCTTAAAGTGTGGGTTAGTTTCTCTTCTTGATACTCAGTAATTTTGAACCATACTCTAAGCTGGTGGATAAGTAAACAATACCAGAATTAGACCTATAAAATCTCAACAAAAGCTCAATGTTTCCACCAGTTGGAGTGCAACAACCTACACTACATTTTTCCTTTTCTCTCCCAGTTACTGTTACAATTTGTTGGCAGCGGCTGAAGTAGGGACTTTGCAGCCAAGGCTCTCCCTGTAGGCATTAAGCAGTTTACCTGAATGATGTACATTGCTTCTGACGGCTTAAGGCTTTGAGTCTCAATTCTTTTTGTGTTTTTTCCCTTGAAATTTGGTCGTTTGCACAAAAGCAAAATCCGCTTGCAGCTGCACCACAAGGCTGCTTGCTCTTCAGCTGGGGTCAAGAAATCACAGCTGTGTGAAGTGGCATGTATCATAAGCAACGGGGCAAGGGAATGTTTTTTTTTAAAGCATTTATCTCCTCAGCTGCATAGTGACCAGAAAATAATGAAATGCCCTCCTATCAGAGGGGGAAAGAATCTTGAAACCTGATAAAGCAGATGGGCTGGTTTAATAACAGATTGAGGCAACGTTCCCCTGTACAGCACTACTATCTGTAGTAAAGCTGTAAGAATTTCAAGCCCTTTGGATGTGAGATGGTATCTGTGTTCTGGTTGTTGCGGAGAAAACAAACCCTCAACTTCCAAAATCATCCCTGGGGTTGTTTTTAATTGTGCTAGTGAAGAAGCAATGGAGGCAGTGAGCAGTTCTCCTGATTTCCAGCTCAAAGTTTGAGTCACATGAAGATGCAGTGTAGGGGAATGGATATCTTTGCAGCTTTCAGGCTCAATGAGCAGAGGAGCTTAACTTTCAATGTGAGAATCAGCAGCTTTTGGTCAGCACTTTGGCTTTTGAAGACTCTTTTCCTATGTTGTGAGTGCAACAGTGTGAGCAGCATTGATTTAAGCTTGCAGTGGGAAGAAGGTGTCTCCTTGAATTCACTGGTATAATCCATGGGAATCTGCTGGTCACCAAATGGAAACACAGAAGTTTCAAGGCTTGGTTTAGAGTCCTGCAGCTCTGTTGAGGTCCTGTGGCTGTAAAGGCAGTTAGACCAAGGGGCACAGGCAACATAACTAGGTGCAAAATGATCATAGGCAGAAAGCTTAAATATATTTGAAAATACTAGCTACTAATATAAGTACTGATGGCAGTTTAGACAGCATTATTTTGTTGATTTGGAGGATTTGATTTGTACAAATGCATTTAAACAACTAGCTGTAAATGAGTGTAATGATCAGTTCAGGAGAATATTTTTTTTCTTGCTAAACTAACCATTAAATGAGAAGCAAAAAGTAAAAATGCAGAGGGATAGGAACCAAAAGCAATACACAGATTGTTAGTGGGCGACCTGTTATCTATGTATGATTTTATCAAAATATGTATTAATGATCCTGCATAGAATTAAGCACATACTTAATGGTAAGTGTCAGGTAGTTCTGTTGCACAAGCGAAGCTTTATCCAACTAAAAGCTATAGCTATCTGAAAACACCTTTTATAAATAAGAAGTCTTTTCAGGCATGTGTTTTTTTAATCTAAGTGTTGCCATTTCCACTTAATGTCTTTACAATTCTCATTATAAACGATTAGGAGAAGAATGTAGAAGATAATGAATTCTGAGCCCTCAGATATGCAAGGTGAAATTCCACACGGAGTGAAGTGGGTGCGGGTTCCATCATTCAGCAGAGCCAGAATCACTAACCTTTTCTGTTCTTGTTATCAACGAATGCAATCTAATATCTGATAACAATGGGTCTGGAAAGAAGGGCTTGATTATATTACTGCTGTGAAGCTGACTTCTGTTTTTTCTCTTCCCTTTAAATCACAGTACGTGTTTATCGAAAACAGTTTTCAGTATTTTGATATGTAACCTTCTGTATAATACAGCTACACGTAAGAACAGAAATCTAAAATTGATCTTTTTGTAGCTGTGTTGTATCTGTTCCTTGTGTATTTTTTACATTCTGTACTGTGGAGCAGCTGATTATCTCACTGGCGAAGTACACTGTCCTGCCTTAGGCGTTACAAAATCAAAGAAGAACAAATTTATTTCTGTTTATTTAAGTAACAGCGAAATTTTCCTCCATGACCTCTACATTTTTTACTTTTGATAGTGATGTATGAAGCAAGAAAAACAGTTTGACTTTCAGATGCGCGGCAGAGGTTATGCTGGCAGTAAAGAAAAGCCTCTTTCCAATATCTGCAGGAAGCAAGCTTGACGTGGCATTTGCTGAGGGAAAAGAACCTGGAATGTAGAGGTAATTAACAATAAAATAGTAATATAAAAGCATATGAAAGAAAGATAATATAGAAGTACTTGCAATCACAAATCATTGTTTCTGTGTGTTTTCCTAACTTATTATTTGCAGTATCCTTGCAACAGGTCTGCAAACATTCACTCACCTGTTAAATTGGTAACATTAATTATTGCATTTTTTTCAGGAAGTATATAACAGTTTTGTAGAAGCTTCTATAGGCTAAATATATTCTAGAAGTGTTTCTTATTTACTTTTATTGACTTTCGGAGCATGTAAGCTCTACTCTAGTATATTATTAATGGATGGTGAAGGGGGAAGACTTTAAGAAAAAAAAATGCAACACGAAGTGGGAAATAATGCCTTATTACCACGGTTGCAGAACAGTTGAATTGGGGTTTTTTTTGCCCGTTTTTCATGTAGGCTAAAGTTTAAAGGCCTTGGTAATAAGGAAGCACCTACAGGGTTAACTGTGGGCTATTTTGCATGTACATGGTTCCCACTGAAAGCAACTGCATTGAAGGTTAGAAAGGAATTAACTTTGGAAATTGGACAGCAGAAATGTTTTCCCCCTTTTTCTTTAACCTGAGTTTCATAGGCACTGTACGTGATGTCTTATGCATAAATAAATATAGAGTCCAGAAATACTGAATTAGATTTGGTCTTTTGGTGTTGTCGAAATAAATTTTGGTAGCAGGATCAGTATCTTATGGTGGACATAGTAAAAGGAACCTGAATTCTATAGTGTGTTCTAGTCTATTTAGACTGGAAGAACTCAATCACTCATCATAGCTGTGTCTGAAATGAAGAGTAGACAAGTCTTTGATCTGAAGTATCTGTGTGATTAGTTTGTCCAAGTTGGGCAGCAGTGCAGGTTTGTCTGACTTGCTTCTTGCACAGTAGTCTGGAGGCTTGAGCATCCCCTACCTGGTCAAGTGCCTGCTCTGAGGAGCAGATTAATTCCTCTCCTCTGAAGTTACCTTGAGGTTTCCTAAGTGTGTTTTTTGCAGCAGGGTAGAATCAAGAGTTTTCAAAAGCTTTTGAGGAGGAACAAGCCAAAGGGTCCCTAATTCACAGTGAATCATGCAGCAGCTCGGTGATAGCTGAGGCACGTGAGCCTGGTTCAAAGACTTGATGTTCAGTTCCCCACATTTTAACAAGTACCGCTCATTCTCACTCCAATGTCCCCTGGACCCAGGGAACACGGGCAGTTTTATGTCTTTGTTACTTAAACAAAACTGATCTTAGGGGCTTCCTGCTTAAAATTTCCATCAGCTCTAACATTAAGCTGAAGCAGCTCCATCGTCTCCTGCAGCCTCAGTGCTCCAAGGGAATTAGTCTCTGATCATTCCGCAGGCTAAATGAGCCTCCAGCGTCCTCATATCTAATAAGCTCTTATTTCACATCCCTTCAAGGACCTTTCAGCCCTCATGCACCCCCTGAACTTTGGTCCGTTTCCTCCTCCAAATTTCCGAAAATGTTGCTGATATAATATGAATTACCTCTGCTTTAACATCCATCATTCAGGGTGAAGTTTAGTATCTGAACTTTGCAGCCTGCGGCATGTCACCAGCTGCCATCCAGATAGGTCAATCATTTGTTCCATGTTAATGCCATTTTTTTTTTCCTTCGTAAGTTACAAGGTCACCTTAAGCCCTGGAAAGGGCTAAAGAGCAGTGAAAGAGGAGTGGGCAAGAAGTGATGTATTCGGTGTTGCAGTAGCTTGGGTGCTCCCAAACAGAATGATCTCTAAAATACTAATGATATTATTTCGTATAAGAAAGCAAAGCAATTCAGCAGGATACCAGAGTGGTTAGTCAGGTCTTTCTCTGCTAGAAACTTCATCTCTAGTTACAAAAAATGCTGCTGCAACTCTTCTGAGTTTTTCTTTTACTGTTGTCCAAAGTTCATAAAAATCTGCCTCTCTCTTTTCTATTTCTGTATAGCTTTTTTGATCCCCTCCTTAGACAGTCAGGGTAAAGCTGACATGTTATTTACTGAGGAAATTAAATTTATTTAACAAGGAAGTTATGAGAGTCTGTCTCATATCAGAAGCAGAAGAATTCTGCTTTTTATCTGAATCTCAAGGAGTTGGTACTGAAGAAGGTTGCAGTGACCAGCGAGGTATACATATTTATTATATTTTTGCCTGCAGTGCTCCTTTCAGTAGTCAAGATTGCATCCTTGCGAACATCCGTACAGCAGCAGAAAAGATGAGAGTTGCCAACTAGCAAATTTTTTTTCCACGAAACCCTTTTCTCCAAACTATTGAGTGCAGCTTACAAAGGACGGTAACAAAGCCAGGTATCTGGCGGGCACAATGGGAGATGAAATTCATTGTGGAAGCCGCAAGGTAAGGCGCACTGGAAGGAACAATTGATCCATTGATGGGATCTAAATTAACTGCAAGTACTCGGGGAGAGAGCCCTGGCTGTCATTGTGAGCAGCTCCGTGCAGCCGGTGCCCGGCGCTGATTAAAAGCAGAGTGAGACGGGAGCGTTGGGATGCACCGGGAGAGATCAGGGAAGGCTCTTGAAAACACAGTGTGACTGTTGGGTACATCTGTGTGGGAGCTCAGCACGGACCCAGCCTTGGGTTTTAATGCCCCATCTCCAAAAGGAGGTGTCAGAAATAAAGAATAGAAGCCCTGAAAGGCTCCCTTTCCAGGGAGAGTGTTGGGTCGGATTCCTCCTTTGGTGCCTACCCTCTGCTGCCCTTTGGAAATCAAGTGGTTCTCCAGGTTGCAAATCGCTATGAAGTATGACCTATTTAATAGAGATGCATAGAAATGCTTATTGTGGGGAGGATGCACAAACTAGCAGTTGATGAACTGCAAAAAAAAGGTGCTTTGACTTCTTTTTGAACAACCTTTTCTTAAAATGACCATCAAAGACAAAGGAAATTCAAGCATGCGACTTTATAGTCAGCCAGCTGATACCTGCTTTATATGAAAAATATCCTTTCTTTCCATCCGTTGTTCCTGGTTAAAAATAATTTGGGAAGTCAGGGGAGAGGAGAGAGGGAACATGCAGACTTCATAATCAGAAATACGGCTTGGGAAGGAGTACACAACCGATTCAGAAAATGACTTGAAATGGACCAACTTGGACCAAGGGACAGAGAACTTTGTGAGAAAGATACCTGGTGAAGGAGATAAAATCAGGGGCCAATATACACTTCCCCTCCACCCCCCCCAAAAAAAAGTGTATAGGCACCAATTTAGGCACTAATTGGAATTTTGTTGAGCATTCTTATGTTTGAAACATCATTACCTTAACTAACTCAGAAGCTCTCACTGTAGCAAAGCAAAATGAGCTGGTTGTTAGCAAGGGAAGGTGATTGCAGAGGGAGATACCCAGGTGGTGAATCTAATTCATAAAGGGCAGGATAGGCAGCTTGCAGCAGGGCAAAAAAAGGGAATGTTTCATTCCCTTGTTATTGACCGTGGCAGGGGAGAAGGCCCAAGTGGAGCATACCTCTGGCTCTGAATGTCTATATGTGGTTTGCAGGAAAAGTATGAGGGGAGAAAAGATTCTTTTTGGTTTGATTAATAGATGCTCTGCTCTGTTTATAGTGACTGCTCGTGTGGCTGTCTCAACTGAGCCAGTCTAGAAAGGTGTAAGCCCTGGTGCAAGTCTTAATACTTGCTCCGTCTTCCCAAATGGTCCCTTTTCTTTCCTGACGTACCAAAATCTGAGAAATTTTGCCTCAGAGGAATTGTTCTAATTGTCCTTGCTTGGGGGTATGCAGCATAGAGAAGGTTTTCCTATCACTGCTAAAGGGTAAACCACAACATAGAGCGTTATCTCCTTAAAATGAAGTGATTTCCTGAAGTACGAAGCAGTGTCAAGCAGAACTGAACAGCCGCATGTTTTCCTTGGGTCGGTTTGTGTAACCTGGATAAATTGCAAGGAAGACTGCGTGTCTCCCCTCCGTGGAGCCTGGCGCAACCATTTGTTACGGTGACAGGTATATTCATCACGCGGTGCGTGTGGACAAATTCCATCCTGCAGAATGTGGGCGACGCTCGGATACGGTCATGGGCGTCGTACGACTCTCTATTTGGGTGACACCACCTCTGTGGCTGCAAGGGGAGCCCGAGCATCTCGCAGCAGCTTTGGTTTGCTCGGGGGCTTCAGGGAGCAACGGATAGCGAGGGAGAAGCCGCGATCCACAATTTAATTAGGGATGTAGGGAAGAGTCTCCTTTGCTGCTGCAGGCCCCTGCCATAATGCCTGTGTAAATGGCCTCGGCTGTCAAGGGAGGGCTTGCATAGGCTTTATGTGCATTAATGATGTATTCCCCCGAGTTTTGCTTTGGTCTGGCAGGGGGAATAACCCTAGTGTGGCTCTCGAGTGCCCCTTGCCCAAAAACGTTGTCTGCTGTGTGCAGAGAGCTGCAGGTGGGAATGATTTTATGATGACTCTCGGCAAACAGACAGTTACTGACTTTTCCCATGGTAATTGGTGTTTTCCTCAGTAAGGTCACGGGAGGTTTTGCGAGCTGTCTATTAACTGTGCATCTCGGCTTCCCTTGCGTAGTGGGAAACATTTTGCCTAGGGTTTGTGGTGCTCGCAGAGAAAAATGTAACTTCTCAGCAGCAGTTTTGTGAAGCGAACCAGGGTTTTGCATGACCATAATTGCTCCCGTTCTTAAACCTTGCAGCAAGCCTGGCAAAATGTAGTGACATAGATACCTGTGAAGTGTTTCTGGTTTGTTTCTTCTCTTTCCTTTCTTTGGGAAGGTTATAAAGAAAACCTCGCATCTCTGCAGAAAGGCGGAATTGTCTTGAGCACTATTCTATCTCCAGCACAAACGCGGGTAATGAGGATAGCAAAAATATTTGTCATCAGTGTTATTGCAGGAAAAAGCACTTCAGATGGTGACGCCCGAGCTGCTGTAGCCAGGGAGCTGCTGCAGGTGCAGGCAGTGATGGGGCTCGGGTGCCCATCGCCCTGTTTAAAATTCTTTATGGAGCTGCTTTGTGAGTCAGATTGCCAGAG